AATTATCAGTCCAGCCTGTCGACTGAACTCCCAAAAATTGATAGAACTCATAAGCGAGCCCATGCACGGAAATCTTTAGTAAAAGGCGAAAGATTTATCCGTTTGAGGATGCATGGACTCCAGAGATACCTCCCATTTCTTTTTCCCGCCCTTCCTTCCGCTGCTCACTTGTCTTTCGATTGGGTTTCACCGGTTCGCGAGGGAAAAGAGATCGAATTGGAGTGGTAGAGAGGTGAAGAATATAAGAAGCCGTTGATGAAGAAGTCACGTATTTTACAATAGTACAAACAGGTAATCAAAAATCGTGTGCTTTAGTAATTATTTTAAGTTTTTTTTATTTACAAGAATTACTTTTTTAAGTTTTCATAAGTTTTGTACTATAAAAACTGTTTATTGCACTAATTAGCACCCGCAAGAAGCAAAGAGCACCAAATCAACTTTTTTAAAAAAAGGGCAAAAACTTTCTTTACAAAACAAAAAATGTCAAGAACTTTCTTTACAAAACAAAATTGGCAAGAACTTTCTTTACAAAACAAAAATTGGCAAGAACTTTCTTTACAAAACAAAAATTGGCAAGGACTTTCTTTACAACCATTTCAAGAATTGTTTTGTAAAATACGTTTATTTGCATAATTGTTAATATTTTACATGTCTTGGGTATTTCAGTATGTTATAATATATCAATCTAATCAGGGACGCCGCTACAGATTTTTTCTGAAGAAGATCTACCTCTATGTGCCTACCGTCCTCTCTTAGCTTGTAACTACGTCCCTGTCTCTAATATGATCCATAATCATATTTTGCGTCTCATGTTCCGACTGTTTTAAAACAGGCATCGCTTTTTGCCTTCAGGCTATTTTCATCCCATTATAACGTCACTTTCGGTTCAAACAGCGAGAAAAACCCCCAAGCAAATCGCTTTTCATTCGAGATTCTCGAGAGTGAATAAACATTAAACTTTTTTGTCGCGTGTTATATGTCGTTTATATTTAGGGAGGGGGCTATTTTGGGGATGGCTTGTATAATAGTTTACTAATTGAGGACAAAGGTTTATTAACAACGTTTAGTTATTAGGCTAGTAGGGCTAGAAATGCAGTAAAACTGATATAACGTAGTAGTAGTATAGCGCTAGAGATATTAAGAAGTTATATTTGGTAGGGCTCGGGCTAGGCTGAAAAAAGCCTTAAGTGAAGCTAGGTTACGGCTAAGCCTAGGCCAGAGTCAGAATATAGCTAGGCTTGGGTTAGACTAAAAGCACGTTAGGGCTTGGGTTTAGACTGAGCTAGGCCTAAATTAGACCTAGCTTACGGCTAGGGCTGAGGCTGGGACAGGATAAAGTTAAGATTGGGTCAAGCTAGAAACAAGCAAGGGATCATGCTAAGGCTATGGCTAGTGCTAAGGCTAGAACCACAGCTATGACTCTGGGCTAGGGCTCTGGGTTACGGCTCGGGATTGTATTAGAATGTACTTTCCAACTCTCCATGCCCTAACTCTTCATTACCCTAGCCTCAACTCTTTGATGCCCTACCTCTACCCTCTTGAATGTCATAAAATACAATAGAAGTTAATGTGACCACAGCCTTCTGTCGACCCATCAATCATCGCGGAACAAGCGTCAAAGCGCTTCATCTGTTTTTTATAACAATTTTTTCGATTTTCCGAGGTGACCCGCGACGAAGCGGGGATTTTGTGGAAGAGGTGGTTCAGCCACTGCCAACGCGGCGTTTCTCCCGGTTTCTGGAAGAAGATTTTCGATTTTAAACTTAGATATTTCATAAGGAAAAATTAAATTTTGGCCTTTGGCTTTAGATTCTTATCTGGTCCGGAGGGCGATGTAAGCAATGTTCAAAAATGGACTTGAAAATTGAAAACTTAATGAAATTTTAATGAAAAATCTTAAAGAATTTTAGTTTTTTTATTTAAAAAAAACAAATTTCCCTTCCTTAAGTCACACAGTTTTTGAAATTTTCAAAATTTTTTTAAAGTTTTCAAAAATTTTTAAAATTAAAAAAAAATCAGTTGGTTTCGGATCGTATTTTACAATTTTTTATCAAATTTTAATGAAAAAATCTCGGTAAATTTCAATTCTTTAAACAGTCTTGCTTAAAGCAAAAAAATTTTTAATTTTTGAAATTTTTAAATATTTTTGAAGATTTAAAAAATTTTTTGATAATGGCTATTCAACGTAGTTTATATATTTTTTTAAAAGTTTTAAACTTAAAACCCAAGAGTTTGTAGCCAAAAACTTGTCGTGTTGTTAGTATTAAACGCTTGAGCAGAACGCAAACGAAAAACGATAAAACTAAGCAAATATAAGTCGTGTTTGATAAGCTGTAACCTTGTTAACCATTTTTGGAAAACCTTTTTTAATATTATTCATCACTAGCTATGGCCATATTAGACTATATGAGGTAAAAAATTCATTACTTTAGCCCAGAGCCCTAGCCCAGAGCCCTAGCCCAGAGCCCTAGCCCAGAGCCCTAGCCCAGAGCCCTAGCCCAGAGCCCTAGCCCAGAGCCCTAGCCCAGAGCCCTAGCCCAGAGCCCTAGCCCAGAGCCCTAGCCCAGAGCCCTAGCCCAGAGCCCTAGCCCAGAGCCCTAGCCCAGAGCCCTAGCCCAGAGCCCTAGCCCAGAGCCCTAGCCCAGAGCCCTAGCCCTAGCCCAGAGCCCTAGCCCAGAGCCCTAGCCCAGAGCCCTAGCCCAGAGCCCTAGCCCAGAGCCCTAGCCCAGAGCCCTAGCCCAGAGCCCTAGCCCAGAGCCCTAGCCCAGAGCCCTAGCCCAGAGCCCTAGCCCTAGCCCTAGCCCTAGCCCTAGCCCTAGCCCTAGCCCTAGCCCTATCCCAGAGCCTTATCTCAAAGCCCTAGCCCAAAGTCCGAGCTTGCTTTGAGTCTAACACAAACCTAACTTTTGCCTGGTCCTGGCCCAGTTCTAGCCTACCTTAACCCTATCACTCGCCGTTGTTTTAACTTACTTTATCAATTCTTACCTTGCCTTACTCAGAAAACAAATTTAAAACAACCCATAGCCTCAGTTTTAGCCCTAGCCGTAGCCATTCCTTAACCCGTAGCCTTAGTCTTAGTACGTTTTTTCTTGGCATTAGCCCTATCCTTAGGCCTAACCTGCCTATAATTTAGCTTTCAATTATTTAAAATAAGATTTTATACTTTTGTTTGCCTAAAGGTCAGCAAAATTTCAAATCGAATAACAAAACGATTAGTCATTCGATTTCATTTTAAACTTTTGTTAAATCAATTAACGTGATGAAACTGTTTTTGATCATTTAGCGTTTAAAATGCATTGTCATTGACTACTGTTTTTTTACACTACATCAATCTTACTTCTTACTGCTTTGATTTTTAGTTATTTTAATTAAAATTTGGCTAGCCATTGTAAAAAAATGTTATTAAAACTTCTGAATTTAAGTTTTCCTATGTTTTCTTTACGAAGTTGTTACCTATTTATAAGTTTTTATGTCTCTAAATGGTCTGAAACTATGTTTTTTTAAAATAATTGTCACCTGTTTTCGGAACGTGAGAACTATAATATGTATAAACGTTTTGTCACATGCCAAACTTTTTTGCTTTAAAATAGTCTATTCTTGTTCCCTAGCCTTAGCTTCAGCTTTAGCCTTAGCCATAGCCATAGATTTTAGCCATAGCCATTGCTTTTAGCCATAGCCATAGCCATAGCTCTAGCCCAGAGCCTATTTTCTTGTGAAAACTTTAATTTACTAGCTACAAAACATCTTTTCTAGCCAAAAATATCTTTAAACGTCCTTTTTTGGTCAAAAAACATCTCTAAACGCCCTTTTTTGGCCAGAAAACTATCTTTGGACGTTCGAAAAGACCGTGGAACGATAAAAAAAAGTATAAAACATGAAGAAAACCCTCATTTCTTTTTGTTTTCCTCAATCTCTCTCACTAAAATATCTTCAAACTTTATTTCAAAACGACCACAAATGTCTTTGAATGGATTAAAGATGTATTCCAGTCATTTGTACCCTTTAATTTTGGCGTTGTATAGTAATTTAGGCCTAAAATAAGCCTAAATTATTGGTTTCGGCCAATTTAAAAAAATGATATTTTAAAATAAAATTTAAAATGAAATTTCGAAAAAAGTGTGTTTTTTGTTTGGAATGAAGAATCAGTGGTCGGCCTTTCGCTTTTTTTTTGGTCAATTCAGGTGATTCACACGGTGTCATATCAACGTCTGTCTAATGAAATTTCAACACAGCTTCTTGGTAATTGACTATTTTTGGGTCATTTTTAAATTAGAAGTTGTAAAAGTGTTTTGCTTAACTATTGGTAAATTTAAAAATTTGGTTTTGGTTTGAAAAAACTATTGAAATTGATTTTAAATGTTTTAAATGGTTTGCACGGTGCAAACTTTTTATCACTGCACAGTGCAGACGGGTCAAAAAGCTTGTAGAAAAATATTTTAAAAAAAATTTTTAGGTGTGTTAGAGTACACAAGACGTATTTTACATAAATTTTGTTTTGCTACTCATTTTTTGTTTTTATTTAAAAATCCACTTGTAGCTGTCAAGTGTAATATAATCCGCTCTCATAACCTGGCAATTTGACGTAAATTACCTAAAATTTAAGAAGATTTCAAAAAAAAGATGCATCTAGATGTTTTTTACATTATTTCTACAATTTACTTTTTAAATCTTCGTTTTATCAATCGGTGACAACCTCTTATTTTTTCAAAAATCATGGAGTTCCGGGCGCAACCCGAAAAAATCAGCTCCACCTTTTTTGGAGGAAAACCTCGCGAGAGACATTGTTGTTCTTTGGTAAATCTGGTCTTCTCTTGCTTCGACTGCAATGTAATTAGCATTTATTGAGGTCGTCGTATGATTTTTTTTGTAAAGATTTGATGTTTTGTTACAATATTGGGTTCTGAAAAAGATTCATGATTAATATAATTGAATTTATCGCAATTTATTGTTATCTTCCTCAATGTATTTGATAAAACTAATCTAAAATATTTCAGAAAACAATGTTCTCCTGGCTAACAGGTCAAAAGAAGGAGAAGGAAGATGTAAGTTATTTTCTTTTAGATCATTTTAGATATTAAACTTTTAGATATTAAACTTTTGGAGAAGGGGAAACGATTTGTAGGCTATCTCTAACGAATGTTTTTGCTCATTAGTCTAAAATAATGGTAATTCTGGTTTCTAAAAACATTGTAAACATAACAAAAGTGTTTTGTTTTTTATTGTAAACAAAACACGTTTGATTTTATTATTATTCATAACGGTTTGGTTCCAAGCATCTAGTGTAACATTATATTGAAAAAATTAATGAGTTTTTGGCATGATACAGATGCTGATGGGAATTATAAGGTAGAGTAAAGTTTTTTGTTCTGTTCTTTTTCAAGCTTTGGGAGGTTAGGAAAGTTAAGTTGTTGATCAAAATAGCTATGCGATTGTAGGTAGAGATGGTTAATATAAAATTATCTGAAAAGTAAGGAAAGCTTTTGTATTTTAGATGAAACGTAGTGAGAATAGGTTAATATTAACATGCTTAAGGTTATGTTGTGTTCTTTTTTGGTAGAAAACGTATATACAATTCACAAATAAGAGCTTTATATTATGTTAGGTTCCCATCAGAAGTTTATCAAGGCCTTTTGCAATCCAAATGATTTTAGGTGTTGGAAAGTGTAAGTGATGGACTCAAAAAGATCTACAAACAAAAACTACATCCCCTGGAGGACTACTACAAGTTCCATGACTTCCATTCGCCAGCGATGGATGATCCAGACTTTACCGCAAAGCCGATGATCCTCCTAGTCGGTCAATATTCGACCGGTAAAACCACATTTATTCGTTATTTGTTGGAAGAGGACTTTCCTGGAATTAGGATTGGCCCAGAGCCGACTACCGACCGCTTTATTGCTGTTATGCACGATGAAAACGAGGGTGTTGTACCTGGAAACGCTTTGGTCGTTGATTCGAAGAAGCAGTTCCGAGCGTTGTCAAAGTTTGGCAATGCCTTTTTGAATCGATTCCAGTGTTCGACGATGAATAATGATGTGTTGAAAAGTGTTACGATTGTGGATACGCCTGGTATCTTGAGTGGGGAGAAACAAAGGTAAGATTTTTGTGTTTTTTTTGGATTTTAGGCAATAATTTTGATGAATATTGGTAAAATCTGAGTGGCGGAACTTTTGAACTATAAGTTTAATAGCTTGAAGGCTTTTTTGAACTTAAAAGATTGAAACAGTCGGGATCATGTTCAATATGATCTTTTCTCTTTGTTTTTTCCAGAAGTTTCGTTATGTGCTTCATTAGTACAATGGGAAAGCCAAAACTTTACGTTCTGAAGCTCGTAGGTTCGATTCCGGTTGGCGGAAAAGTGGAAAATTACGGGTTTTAAGGATAAAAAGACAAAGATAAGGGTTTTAGGGGTGTAAATAGATAAAATAAGGTTAGAAATACATAGTAATGCAGCGTCATCATACCATGGTAACTGGGCTTGATTCTAATGCCCTTTGGACTACTTCCGATACGCTAAAAGTAACGTTGTTTGCAACTTGAACAATATCATCTTGATGTATTGTTCATTACTGATAATAACTACATTTTTGAAAAAAAAATAATTTAGGTACTTTATGTTTAAGTTAGGGTTTAAAATGAAGTTTAATGTAAAATACGACTCAATTTGAAAAATTTGTTTCATTCTTGTAAACTGTGCTTAACTCTTGTATTTTCAGAATCGACAGAGGCTACGACTTTACTGGAGTGCTGGAATGGTTCGCCGAGAGAGTGGATCGTATCATATTGTTGTTTGATGCTCACAAGTTGGACATTTCCGACGAGTTCAAACGTTGTATCGAGGCTTTGTCTGGTAAGTTATAATATATTTTTTTGAAATTTTTATGATTTTAGGCGATTTTTTAAATTTAAAGACCCATTGCACCGTGCAGTCATTCAAATAGTTCGTTAAATTCATTCATAAAGCTTGTAGTGTCTTTTAAAATGACATTTTGGAAATTATTTTGTCGTTGCACCGTGCAATTTTTTAAAATTTGATATTGCACAGTGCAGAATTAAAAAATGTGATTTCAATCTTTTGTAAAGCTAAAACAAGGTATCTGCTTGATTTTTATTTGTATTTTAGACTTTTGGACACATTATTTATTACAGTTTTTAAAGTTTTCAATCTTCTGCACGGTGCAAATTTTTAATTTTTGTATGCAATGTGCAGAGTAATTTTAAGAGTTTAATTTAGAGTTAAAATATAAGGTTTTGTAAAATACGGAAATGATTTATCTTTTTGGAAATTGAATAAGTAATTCTAAAAATTTTAGGTAACGAAGACAAAATCCGCATCGTCTTGAACAAGTCTGATATGGTCGATCATCAACAGCTGATGAGAGTCTACGGAGCTTTGATGTGGTCCCTAGGCAAAGTCTTCAAAACTCCAGAAGTTGCGAGAGTATATATTGGTACATTCTGGGACCATCCTCTTCACTACGACATCAACCGACGTCTTTTCCAAGACGAACAACATGATCTATTCGCCGATCTACAAGGTCTACCAAGACATGCGGCTCTACGAAAGCTAAACGACTTGATCAAGCGGGCCAGACTAGCCAAAGTTCACGCCTATATCATAGCCGAACTGCGGAAACAAATGCCATCGATGATCGGCAAGGAGAAGAAGAAGAAGGAGCTGATCCAGAAGCTGGACAAGATCTTCGAACAACTCCAGAAGGAGCACAACATCTCACCTGGCGACTTTCCAGACGTCGACAAGATGAGAGAGAACCTTCAGAATGCCGACTTTACGAAATTCAACGCGATAAAGCCGAGATTACTGGAGGTGGTGGATGAAATGTTGGCCAATGATATTGGTAAGGCTTAGGTTAATATAAGATTGAAAGTGTTTTGGGGTTTCAAAGGTGTTTTTGAAAGTTTTTAGGGTTTTTAAAAGTGGTTTTTTGAAAAAAAGGAGGTTTTGAAGAATTTGGAAGGGGTTGTAGGCTTATTTTTTAGTTTTTTTGATTAAAAAGTTTGTAGAATAGGTAACAAAAACAAGTAAAAAATATGTCTTTAGCCCGCCTCATGTCCCAAATCCCACAAGAAGAAGCGCAACAAGCGAAGGAAGCCGGCGACAATGGCTACAAACAACCAGAAGTTCAAGGCGGCGCCTTCAAGTCAGAATCAGAAGGTGCGACACCATTCGGCTTCGGCAAAGGCGAAGGATTCGACAAAGGAGCAGACGAATCCGAATGGATCGTCGGCAAAGATCGTATCGATTCGGACGATCAGTTCAGTGACCTCAACCCGGTCGATGGCAAACTATCCGGCCGAGTCGCCAAGGAACACATGCTCAAGTCCAAGCTGCCAAACTCGGTGTTGGGTAAGATCTGGAAGCTGGCGGATGTGGACAAGGATGGCATGCTGGATGCGGACGAATTCGCTTTGGCCAACTACTTGATCAACTTGAAGCTGGATGGTCATGAACTACCCGCCGACCTCCCCGGGCATCTGATCCCACCATCGAAGAAGAACCTGTCTGATTCGGATTCGGGAATGTATCCAAAACTTGAAGAATAAGATGTATAATATGGAAGAGGGAATGATTGAGGATAGGAGAGGGTAGAAGAGGAAGAATGAGAGGTAGAAAAGAAAGAATAGGAAGTAAAATAAGAAAACGATAAAGAATAAAAAGTAGAATAATAGAAAGTGAAGGAATAAAAGATAGAGGAAGAGTAAGGAGATCATAAAGAAAAAGAGGTAGAAAAGGAAGATGATAAAGAATAAGAAATAGAATAGAAAGAAGAATAAGAAGTTGATAAAGAATAAGATAATAAAGAAGATAAAGAAGGTCTTGTTTTTACTTATCTTTTTTATCATTTTCATTATCCTTCTTCACTTCTACTTCATACTTTTCTTTATTTTATTCTTCTTTATCTACCTATTCTTCATCTTATTCTTACTTTTTTTACCTATTTTTCATCTTATTCTTCTTTTTTTACTTTTTCTTTATAGTATGCTTCTTTTCTTATCTATTATTCATTAGATTATTCTAGTTTTTCTCTCTATTCTACCTTATAATCAATTTTTCTTCCACCATAATCATCTTTATTCGATTCTTTTTGTGTTGATATATTGCCAATACTATTCTTGTTACCCCCGATAACAATTGACACTGTTAATTACTGTCACTTTTACAATATCAACCTGTAATGTTATGAAAGTTTGTCTGTTTTACTGTAAGTTTGTTTATTCTACTGTAATTTTAGCTTGTTTAGAAGCGTCTGAATAGCAATTTCTGAAAGTTTTTGCCAGTTTTATATAGAAATGTTGTTTCTTTTGTTGAGAATGTCATTTTTAAGGCTTAAAAATGGGATTTTTTAAACTTTTTTGTGAAAAAGTCCTACTTTAGCTATTTTCTGTCAAATTTGTTTTTGTGAAAGAGTCCTACTTCAAATAAGTTTTTTACGAAAAATGACATTCTCAATTAAACCCCCCCCCCCTCCCAATATTACCATGCTTAGCTACAGATCCGAGGTCCGGTAGCCCCTTATATCGTGTTCTTTTTCTGTGTATTCGGCTTCACATCTCACTTCCAAGCGCCTTACATTAATTTTTTCTTGTTTTATCTATCATAATATATCCACCCAGACCGAAACTTGCAATTATTGAACCGCAAATATAGTCAAAATTTTAAATCTAATAAATATTTATAGCTAGGGGTGGGATTTTTTATTACTTGTTTTGTTGGACAGGTAATTATTGATTTATTTACATAATGAATATCCTTATAATAGTATTATAAACCTAAAATACGTTCAAGTTTACTCCTTGAAGAACCCGCATTTTGCTTTCGTTTTTGGGTAGACCTTGTCCATGTCGCTTCGGAAGGTTTCGGCTGTCTGGAAATGGCAAAAAAAAATATTTTTAAAAATGTTTCGATAGTACTGTATAGTATGGTACTATTACTGATAGTAAAGTTTTATAAGTTACTGTGATGGTAGGGGCGGGTGTGGTGGAGCAGGGCAGGGTAGGGGTACGGTAAGTTAGGGTATGGTAAGATAAGGTAAGGTAGAGTGAGGTAAGATCGGGTATGGATTGATTAGGCAGGGTAATTTTTTTTATTTAGGGTAAGGCAAAGATGGGCAGGACATGGTTGGGTAGGGATATCATAGTAGTAGTGCAGGGTAATTGATGTAGGACAGGATATTGTAGAGTAGGGTGGAGTATGCTAGGGTAGGGTGGAATGGGGTAGCGTAGGGCAGAGTACGGTAGGGGTAAGGTAGGGTCGGGTGGAATATGTTAGGGTACGGTACGGTAGGGTAAGGTAAGATAGAGTAGAGTCACAGAAAGGCAATCTCTCTTACAGTACGACCCCAAAACCCACCTTCCAATAGAACTCATCAACTTTAGCAAAAGCCAACATTTCAGCCCTCGAAGGTGCCCTTTTGATACCCATATGTAAGGTATATACATCATTCAAGACGGCAAACTTATAGCCAGCTCTACAGGTTTCATATGCCATTTCAGTTTGACCTCGGTGGGGGTATGGGAAGTTTTCATCGTAAAATGGCACTTTAGTATTGTCTCCAATGAATTGGGGCTCCCATTCTCCATTTGAGTAGTTGGTGTACTGTAAATGACCATGGTTACTTTTACCGAAGTAAAAACAGACAGTAGCTGATAAATTACAGTGTAAAATACGATAAGCTGCCGTTCATAGGCTATGCTGTTGCTGATACTATTAATACTATTATAAAAAGCCTATAAAAAGTATTGTCGTTTTTTTAGTGCAAATACATTAAGATAAGCGGCAAGTCTTTTTTGAAGCCTATTAGCTTGTTTTTTAAGTAATAAATAGATTTTAGGTAATAAATAGTCTGAACTTACTTTAAAAATAGTAGCTTTATTGAAATTTTCAGGAATGTTGAACCATTCGTCTATATATGGAATGAAATGCCCTGCGGCATAGTACTCTTTATGGAATTCAACTGCTTTTCCATCGTAGTATAACTTCTGAAAAGTGAATTTTCAGGACTTTTTGGTAGCTATCCTACCCTAACCTACCCTACCCTATCATAACCCTTTAGGTACAGAAGCCCATAGCGTGTTCTAGGTGGTAGCGTTCATCTTATATTATCTTACTATACCGACCCCTTCCTTATCTTACTGTATCGCACCCTATCCTTCTCTTACGCTATGTACCCCTAACTTCAGTCTCAGCCACGCTCTTGATTTAGTTCTTGACTTTCTTTCAGCCCCAGCCTTTGGCTTCCCCTTGGCATCTCTAGTCTAACCTACTCTGCTCTACCTTACTTTATTGTCCTCTACTTTATCTGACTCTACCCTATCTTAATCTACCCTATTTTAATTTACCATGCTTTACTCTTCCTTATCTTAATCTACCCTATTCTAATTTAACAAGTCCTACTCTACCCTATCTTACAAGGCAATGTTACAAACTACTCCGCGCCAATTATAAAACGAGTTATACCGTTAGAAAGAGCGTTAAGAAGTAGCCTAGAATCAGCTTTTTTTAGCTGCCGAAACCATATGGCACGGCATGTATTAACGATCAAGGGATTTACATAGGGTTTTCTATTTGAACTTCTCATTCGTCTTGAGCAAAACGAATGGATTGAACCTTTAATCCAGTGTGGTCGAGTGGTTAACAAGTTAGTCTGGGGTGCAGAAGGCGGGGAGTTCGAATCCCGTCAATATCATTTTGGCGCCCAGCCATCATGACCAGAAGTTTTGGCTAGCCAAACAATATTTTGATTAAAAAAATTTTTTTAAAGTCCTATTTTTTACTTTTCTTCCATTTTAGAAAAAAACACTTATCTAAAAATAGCTTTTTCTGAACTTTAAAGGTATACTCTTTAAACATATAAAGATATATAACGAGCTGTTGCTGCCGTGCCACATGGTTTCGGCAGCTAAAAAAATCCGATTTTAGACTACTTTTTAACGCTCTTTTCAACGGTATAACTCGTATTATGATTTGCGTGGAGTAGTTTGTAACATTCCCTTATTAGCCTATTGGGTGCCGACATAAAGAACCCGCCATATTTTACAGGAAATTACAGGCAAAGTATGGCGGGTTCTTTATGTCGGCACCTAATAGATTACCCTACTCTACTCTAATTCACCCCGGGTTCTTTATGTTGGCACCTAAGACTTTACCCTACTCTCCTCTAGTTCACCCTACCCTACCCTGCTCTACTCTATTCCACCCTACCCTCTACCTTTCAGTGTTGATGACTTACTTTGAGTTCTTCTTTGTTTCTAGGCACAGTTTGGAATAAATCAAGCTCAAATCGTCTGTGTACTAGAACAACTTGTTCTTTCTTTCTAAAAATGGCCATGAATTTAAAAAAAATTTGAAATGTCAAAAATTATTTTCAAAAATCAAAATTTTTTTTTATTTTGAAAATTCAATAAAAGCCTCAAAACTTGCTCTAAAATCATTTTCTTGGCCAGAGGCAACACTCTTTGGACATATCTCGGCGATGGTATGTTTTCAATGTCAGATGCCACAAACAATGTAGTGATCATGTAAAACCTAGCTATATTTCTCAAAACTTGGCATGGGTAGTTTGGAATGTGGGCTTCACCTTCATGTACCCCCTCTAGATACGTGTCTATCTTGTATAGTTGAGATTCCGAGTAGACGAGGTTACCACAATGATGATCTTTGTCGAAGAGAAGATGTATACTAACCTTTCCGGATTTCTTGGCTACTGATAGAGTTTCTAGCTTTGATAGGGCGTCCTGAAAAAGGTGAGGGTAAATTTAGGTAGGGTAGGGTAGAGTAGGGTAGGGTAGTGTAGGGTGGGGTAGGGTAGGATGGGGTAGGGTAGTGTAGGGTGGGGTAGGGTAGGACAGGGTAGGGTAGGGTAGGGTACGATAGGGTAGAGTAGGGTAGGGTAAAGTAGGGTAGGGTAGGGTAGAACTTACCAAAAACAGTCGATTTCTAAAGTGCCGACTACTGTAACGAAGATCTGGGGCAGGTACATAAACAGCCAATGAAATCGGTCCATCCCAGACCTCAACCAGCTTTTCCAAGTAATCCACGAAGGGCATGGTAGAATGAACAACATAAGTGATGGAGTCTTCATAAATGGCGTCAGCTTTCCAATAGTTGGGTGTTAGACAAAAGTCATTTTTATAGGGCTTAGACACTATCATTTTGGCATTTTTGTCATTTTCAAAACCGGTTCCTGAGGCTGAAAAGTTAAATTTAAAAAAATTAAAATTTTTAAATTGAAAAAAATTGATTTTTTAAGTTTTAAAATTTTACCACGCCCAAAATTACTGTTTTTTGATAAGTGCAGGGAGAGAGGGAAACGTGGGAAGAGGGTAGGGTAAGGAAGAGGCAAAAAGGAAAAAAGATGACGGGAGAAGGGACAGAAGGGGGAAGTAAAGATGAGTTTTTTAAATTTAAGGCAGAGGTCTTTTTACAATTATAACGAAAAAATTACCAAGCCCGTTAGGTTTCACGTGAAAAATGTTTTTATAGCAAAAAATGTTACCATGCCCATTTAAAAAAAAATTTCATTAATTTTTACCACGCCCAAAAATTTTTTTTATCTCATCTAACCCGCCCCTCTTTGGTAACTGGCCTTTTTCCTAGCTACTACTCCTCCCTCTCCCCCCTACCTCATCTTCTTCACACCCCTCCCTCCCTTCTTCTTCATCAACCCACCCCCCCTCTTCTTCACTCCCTGTATCCTTCGCACCCCTCCCCCCTCTTTATCCATAGGGTTAGGGCTAATTTTTTATCCGCCGCCTCCTCCCTCTTCCCTACCCCCTCTTCTTCACTCCCTTTACCCCAATTCTCCCTCTTCTCTCTCCCCCCCCCCCCCCCCTCCCTTCTTCACTCCCTTACCCCTCCCTGTTCTTCACCAATAGGGCAACCCCCCCCCCCAATGTAAAAAAAATAAAACCAACCTGTAAACAAAGTATCATACAAAGACTCGCCCGACTCCTCCCGTGTTCGCTTCACGTACAACAAAGTAATTGCCGCAAAGGTCAAGACCAGCACAGCCAATTGTCGTTTACCCATAATTTACCATTTTGCGACGGGATTTGCGAAATTAAATAGTTATTCGAATGCCAGATCGTAATCAACCCAAATCCGGTTCGATAACATATATACAAAAACAGCGGAAAACAAACGGCTTTGAATACGAAAAATAAATAATGGAAGGCTGGCTGTTCGGGGTTCAATTGTCTATATTATAGTCCAATCTAATTGGCCAGAAAATGGGGACGTGGATAATATAAAGGATATGGATGTGGACGATACAAATATTATAGATTTGGACGACATAAGACATAATTGTTAAAGACATGGATAATATCGAGGTTATAGACTTATAGACATGAAAAATATAAAGCTTATTGCCATGGATAATATAAATGTTAAGACATGGATAATATAAAGGTTATAAAGATAAACAACATATATATTATAGGCATGGATAATATAAATGTTAAGACATGGATAAAACAAGGCATATAAACATGAATAATACAAATATTATAGATTTCACGGTGTAAATGTTAAGACACGGATAATATAAAGGTTATAAATGGATAATATAAATGTTAAGGCATGAATAATATAAAGCTTATAAACATAAACAACATAAATATTATAGATATGGATGATATAAAAGACGTAATACAATAAAAAACAATTTTTGATGTTCTAAAGTTTACCCAGCTTTGTCTAAACCAACTAATGGAATTTGTCTTTTTAAACCTTGAAACTCTTGATGTCTACCTTATATTTCAAAACAAAAAGTATGTCAAAATAAACAATAACTATCTAGATATGGATAAAATAGTATAAATGGATCCCTTTTTACATTTAAAATGCATTTGGACACAATATTTCATCGTATAACATCAACCAACGTCTTTCGAAGCGCAGATGATCGTGCTCGGACCTTATTTTAGCTCCGTAAAGTTGTTTTCATTGCTATTTCTTCCTCTTTATCGACAATTTAAATTGAATATTAAAAGTTTTAGCTAGATAAGGTAAGCTTAGGCAGATTTAGGCGATAATAACACGGCTTTCAGCATTTTGTTCATCAGAAATTGTTGATTTTGGAGGTTTTATGTGTGTTAGAGCGGTAAAACCTCGATTTCAATGTTATATCGCGAGAAATAGAGGCATTGAATAGGTATAATATGATATTTATGATTGAACTACATTTTTTTCAGGTTTTAGAAAAAAGAAACTGGCCGAAAAAGGAATATTTAAGAGCCTTGACCTAAGAAACATCTTCATCAAGCCGTTTTGTGGAGGTTCCTTCGAAAATTGGACAGAACAGGTCAGATACAAGCTCAAATACGTTGCAAGATGGTTAATTAGAAGCAGGACAAGTTGTCTTACAATGTAAGATTCGCTTTTTGTTTGTTATTTGTTTAGGTTTGAGGATTGAATTTGTTTTCACATCAGAGTCATGGATAATATAATTTTGATAAAATTTGTGGCTTTTAGCGAAAGTTCATTGATGAGTATTCATAATCAAGTGCAAAAGGCTACGAACCAGTCTTTGGGCTGAAATTCGAGGTAACTTTAGCATTCTGTATTGTTTTTGACCTTTGATTTCATGAATAATATCAATTTAAAAAAAAATAATAGTTCAAAAATAGAAAATAAAAATTTTATGCAAATTTTTGACACATCAAAACTTCTAGTCAAAAATGAAAACATTTTTTCATTTTCGATTACATTTTCGTTGAACAGTCAAACAGAGCTGTGTGGTCATGTTTGTAGCTGCAAAAGGGGTTTTTGTCGTATGTTTTTTCATCTTTTTATGTTTTCATCTTCCTTATACTATCTTCCTGATTATATCTTCTTACTTTTACACGGTTCTAACTTTTTTTCACTTTAAAAATTCAAAAAAATGACCAAAAAAGCTAAAATTTGGACGATTTTTGACATTTTTCTGCCATTTTTAATGTTATACTCAATTTTTCAAACTTTTACAGGAATGGGCATGTTGGTTGGGTACTCAGATTTGTTCGGAAGGTGGTAAATGTCGTTTCACCCAGTGTCACGCATTCGTTTTGATAGGATCGACCTTGTTCATGAGCATCTTCATGTTCACCTTGTACATGTCATACTTGTTCATCAAGTGCGCTATGGAGGTGAGTTTAAAGATTTTATGATATTTTCTTTGTTTTTAGGTAGAAATGGATATTGGTCTAAAAAGTAATGTCGTTTTGGCAGTTTTTGGCTGTTTTTGGGTCCTGCAGTCTGCGGTGGACATTTTATACGAAGGATTTTTTTTTGATAGATGCACTTTAAACATGATGTTAATAAGAAGATAGGATAATTTAAAGAAAATGAAATTAATTTTTGAATTTTTATTGAATTTAACATTTTTAAAAAATTTGAAGATTTTAATTTTCAGTGGATCAAACACCCGCCCACCGACGAAGAGCTTGATGATATTGCCAAAAATGAATCCGAGTTGATGAACAAGCCCTGGAATGCCTTTAGTCTAGTCCGGCAAATGTTGTTTGATCCAACGTTGGCTGAAAAACGAATTGTGAGAAGAATAAAGGCCAGACGACAAAAGATATTGGCAGAGGTTGAGGGTAACAACGACAAGGACTTTGAAAACTTTGAGGATTTAGGTAAATTTATGGTTTTTGAGGGTTAAAAATGCATTTTTTGATTGTCGTTTTTTGGTTTGGACGGTATTTTTTCTATCTTTGTTTAATATATCGGGCGGGGTAATTTTTGCAACTTATTTTTTTTTTGGGGGGGAGGGTTGGGTAAGGTCAAATTTTAAATTTAGGGTTTCTTTTAAATTTTTTGCTTTTTAGAAGTTATTTTAAGCCCAAAAAAAACAAAATTTCAACCATAAAAACCGATGATTAAACCCCAAAAACCTCGATGAAACGCCTAAAAATGCCATTTTCAGATACAGAACAAGACATTACAGACGATGAAAAACTAAAAATGGCTGAAGAGAACATGGAAAAAGCCGGTCCAGTCCCGAAAACTGCTGATTCCACTTTGCCAACAGCTAGAAATGAAGAAAAAGATGTTGTAGTACCCAAAGAATCAAAGGCTGGAACAAAAGATCAAGTTATGGCCAAAGGCAAGAAGTGGACGGTGGAAGAAATCGAAAAAGAACTGGAGAGAATGGCCAAAACTCATCAGATCGACGAAGGCGGAGAAAAACCTCTTGTTTGTTAATATTATCCTTGTTTGAAGTGGCATTAGTAAAGCTTTTGTATGGGAAAGTAAATAACGTTGGTATTGCTGTTTAACAAATTCCCGTGCAAGAACTTTCTTTACAAATCAAAAAATGGCAAAAACTTTCTCTACAAAACAAAAAACGGCAAGAACTTTCTTTACAAATCAAAAAAACGACAAGAACTTTCTTTACAAAACAAAAAATGGCAAGAACCTTCTTTACAGAACAAAAAATGGCAAGAACTTTCTTTCCAAAACGAAAAATGGCAAGAACTTTCTTTACAAAACAAAAAATTGGTTTTACTTGAATATTTGAAGTGAATTATGGTGTAGCACACAGGCTAAGACGCTAAATCCATAAAAATTTTTATTTTATAAATATTATTTTAAAAATTTCATTATATTTGGCCGTTAAAAAAGTTTTGTCGGTTTTCACTATGCAAATCAATTTAAATTGACGACAAAACTTTTCGGATGCCTAGGAACTGATGAAAAACTGATTTTTATGAATTTTACAACAATATATTGCAATAGTATTGTTATTAGAAGTTTATTCAATCAAAAACAATGTAACCAGCAGTAAAAATAGATATAAATATAGATCGTCATGACAATTTGAAAAATTTTAAAAGTTAAAAAAATAAAATTTTTAAAATTAAAAAATGTTAAAAAATGTATTTTTGGCAATTTTAAATCATATTTTCCACCGTATTTTAACTTATTTTGTGAATCGGAGCTATTGAAAAAATTAAAAATATCGAAAAAATAGATAGTGTCGGCGACTCGCGCCCACAATAATGTACAATTTTTGGATGATAAAAACCGTATACTATATAGACATAGGAGAATACTAAAACACTTTTTTTTAAATTTAAAAATTATTTTTATTAGTTGCCGACATAAAGAACCCGCCATTTTTACAGGAAATTAAAGGCAAAGTATGGCGGGTTCTTTATGTCGGACGCTGATAAATACAGAATGGTCGATTTGAAGTACAAACCGATCGATTTTACGTAAAAAACGGGTACTTTAGATTACCAAGCCATCAACTACAACATCAAGCCAACTCCTCAAACTGTTGATAGCTGAGAAATCGACCAGGATCATTCAGCTCGTACCCCAAGCTTCGATCCCTCATCCTCAACAATATACTCCTTCGTCTGGCCGTCTCAGTCGGTCCAACCGTATCTACATCTTGGGAATAGCCTCGTACCATCGGTCTTCTGCCATTTATCATGTTTGGCGTTAGGTTTCGTGGTGATAGGCGTGGTGAACTTCGGGGTGATAGGCCTCGGAAGGTGGTTGAGTTGGAGGGTGATGGGGTATTGGACTGGGTGAAGGCACGAGGTCGACCGTTGTTGAAGGGAGACATCGGGCCTTTACCGTAGTTGTATTGGACCTGGAATGATGAGTAAGTAATAGGAAGTAAAGTTAGGCTATTTTAAGTTTAAAATACGGTTTGTATTTGTGAAAATGTAAAATACGTGCACTTTATATAGGAGCATCAATAACATAATAAGCCTAAATAACCGTAAAGAGTCAGTCAAAGGCTATAGTAAAATTTACTGTAACAGGTATAGACTATGCTATAGCTGAAGTAAGGCAAAGGCAAGCTAAGGAAAAGTAGAAAATGGCTAAAGCTTAGACTCCGGCACAGAGTTAGAGCTAGGGATAAGGCTAGGTTAAGATAAGACAAGGTAGGGTAAGGTAAAATATGGTAAATAAATAATTAGAGCTCTGGGCTAGGGCTCTGGTCTAGAGCTCTGAATAAGACTCTGTGCTCGGGCTCAAGATAAAGTCATGAAATTCTTACCTGATACAGACCAATATGGCCACAGTTCCTGGCTCTTAGCCTTTCACACATATCCAGGGCTTTGATCGTGTTTGACGGATGTAAAATATTGCCAAACTCGCATAGAACAACGTAGGCGAACGTTCGTTGGTTGTCCTTTCTAAAAAAAATTTCATTTTTACATTTCTATATCTTACACAGTAACGTAATAGAACAAGAGTAAAGCACAGCCACAGAATATGTAGTAGCAAAGCACAAGTAGGGTCAAAGAGGGCAGGACAGAGCAAAGCGAAACAAGGCAAGGCAAGGCAAAGAGAACATGATCAACTTACGACATTCCAGCTATCCTAGTCAATGTGATTCTCCGTAGGTTCCAAGTTCTAGGTGAATATTTGTATATTTCTCTGGCTCCAGTCCAAGATAACCACGTTTTTTCTAGTTGTTTTTGCTAAAAAATGTCATTATGACACATTTTATATATAACCAAAAAAATTTTTTCAAAAATTTAAAATTTTTCAAAATTTCGAAATTTCAATAAATTTCAAATTTTAAATTTCAAAAAATCCTACCCGACTCGTCCTGTCGAGTATCTTAAAACTCGATACTATAAATCCTGCATGTCGATGTGAAGGTAATGTAGGTTCGATGAAGCTTGTCGACTTCTGAATCGCAAATAATTCATCATACGCGCCGATGAGTGCTCCAGATGATAAGTCCAGACTATCGGCCAGCTGACCCGCTCCAGTGTTGCCAAATGAGCCCGTTTCGAACGTGGCAAAGTGCAGAAATGAAAACATGGCTAAAAATAAAAAAAAATTGTATTGTTTTCATTTTTCGTTTTGTAAGGAAAGTTCTTGTCATTTATTGTTTTTTAAAAAAAGCTATTGCCATTTTTTGCTTTGTAAAGAAAGTTCTTGCTATTGTTTTGGCTTGTAAAGAAAGTTACTGCCATTTTTTGCTGAAAGACCAGTTTTAATCCTTTGCAGCCTGCGGGTGACAAAAGAAAGTACAAATAGGTCAGGGAGTCGTATTTTACCAAATTTGTAACAATAATAAAAGTATCAATGTAAAAAAACTATTTACCTTTAGGTTCGATGCACTTTAATAAAAGCCCTTCTTTGAAACCATGTTTTAGCCGTATTTGATTGCATTCGTTTAGTGCCCGATCCAGTCCACAGTCATTGCTTTTGAATCTGAAAGAAATTTATGTTACTATAGGTTGATGCCAGGCTTAAAATAGCAATAACTTTCTTTACAAAGCAAAAAATGACAAGTACTTTCTTTACAAAAGATAAAATGGCAAGAACTTTCTTTACAAAAGATAAAATGGCAAGAACATTCTTTACAAAGCAAAAAATGGCAAGAACTTTCTTTACAAAACCAGACACCAAATTTTTTATAAAATATGAAAAAATTTTTGTGTAAAGAAAGTTATTGAAGAAAAAATGTAATACTCACTCGCTATAAGCCACAGATGAAAAGTCATCATTCATAGGGTCCTCATCGTCCCGTAGTAAACTTGAAGATGAGGGTACAAACGCCAACAAGACTTGTCGATCTCCATCCATCGAACTACTCTCTACGTCCAATACCTCCACTACTTCTTCGCTGTTCTGCAAAAATGACAAATTAAAGCTTGAAAAATTTTAAAATTTAAAAAAATTTGAAAATTAATTTTTTATTAGGTTTTCACTTTTTAAAATGCTTAAAAATGTTGTCGTTTTTTACTATAGAAATCAATGCAAAGAAACGACAAGACTTATATATAAAAATCTTTTATCAATCTTGTGGATATCCCTAGCTATAGCCCTAGTTATAGACATACCCTACCCTACGCTGCCGTACAACACCTTGCTTTACCCTCTCCTAGCCCTAAAATTTCGAAAAATATTAAAAATTATATTATCATAGACGCCCATTTACCTCAATATGACAGTACAAACAAGAAAAAATTACGAAAATTATTAGTGTTGTTTGAAATTCATATTTTTAGCCAAAACTTTCTCATTAATTATGCCATAGACGAGAAAAACATGGCCATATATTAACTTCCACTTCACGTCATGCAATTACACTCTCCTACCATTATTTTATGCGTATTGTTATAAGGTTAATGATGTGAATGGCAAAATGTGTTGCTGAGGAAAAGGTTTAACATTAGAAAGCTCTTGTCACTTTTTTATTTGTAAAGAAAGTTCTTTCCATTTCTTGCTTCATAAAGAAAGTTCTTGCCATGTTTTGCTTTGTAAAGAAAGTTCTTGCCATTTTTTGTTTTGTAAAAAAAAGTTATTGCCATTTTTCAGTTTGTAAAAAAATTTCTTGCTATTTTTTTGTTTGTAAAGTAAGTTCTTGCCATGTAAGGTTTTGTAAAAAAAGTTATTGCCATTTTTTTGTTTTGTAAAGAAAGTTCTTGCCTTTTTTAATTACTTCCCCACACTGGCCGTTCCCCACTCCACACCCTCACCGCTTCTTTCACGCCTATGAACAAGCAAAACTGATAAACACATATATAACTGACCCTACCTCAAATTACTACCTCCTCTTCTTACTCAGTTACTAGGTTGTAATCCTCACACCAAATGACAAATCTGGCCTTGAAACATTCCCCAAAATACCCAATTAAACCAAACGTTTAATGAGACTTTACGGCGATTACTGAGTACGCAAATGTTTTTTACGTAAATACTAGAAGGCATGACACAAAGTATACAATGTTTGGAGGAGTTAAGATGGAATTTAAACAAAATTTTGTTAGGACTTTTTATTTTTTTACTTAACAAATAAAACTGTGTTAAAATTAACATTCAAATAAAGTAAAATGGCTAACGATGCTATAAAAAACAGTTGTGGAAAGATGCTCAGAATATGAATGAAGCTAAATTAAAGTTAATTATGATGTCAAGTTGAAGTTGACCTAATGAGTTGATCACTGTATTGATAGCTATGCAATTTGTTCTCAATAATCAATTAAACAACAAAAAAATTACTTGCTAAAAAAGTTGTAAAAAAAGAAATCTTAAAATTAGCCCAAACAAACATGACCAAACATTCCAATAATATAGTAAGATCCAGCCACACAAAACTGACAAGGAAAGTACCCGACCTGCCCCGCTCAGAATCAGCTGAAAATTTTTATATGAATTCATTGTACCACCAGCAGTACCCATAAAAAATTTTAGCTCGCGCTTTTGAGTTTTAAATTTAAATTATTTGGGTTTCCCGCAATTTTGGCAAATTTGGCATTGCGTTTCAAGCATTTTTTAGTTTTCCAGACAAGATACAGTGGCGGCAAAAAAAAATGGGACAGTCGGTTTTTCGTCAATTTTATTTTTTTTCGAACGTTTATAAATTTGTACCTAGCTATTATGAAAATGTAGGGTGTTTAACATATTTAAGCAAAAAAAATTTTAAAATTTGAGTTTTAAATATTTTTAAAAATTTTTCGAAAAATTTTTCTTGGCAAAAAAAAGTGGGACACTTCAATATCAAAAACATTTTTATTAAACAACCTAACCAAAACAACTAAAAATACATTTAACTAACAAACAATAACTAGTGCTTTGTTGGACCACCATTTGCAGCAATAACAGCGGCCATTCGACGAGGCATCTACATGATCAAATCGTTCACTACTTTAATGTCAAGATTTCTCCATTCCTCCTCCAAAACTGATTCCAATTGAGTTTCTGTCGTTGGGTATCTCCTTTCTACTTTTCTTCCAACCAGTTCCCATAAATGTTCGATGGGATTAAGGCCAGGAGACCGACTAAGCCAGTCGAGTTCACGGATCTTCTCCTTCTTCATGTAATGTTGAACAACTTTAGCCATGTGTTTCGGGTCCTTGTCACTTTGAAATAAGGATCTTTTTATTTTTAAAGAACGACAATAGGGTATGGCAACTTTGTATAAAATTTCTAAGGAAACCGTCTCTTCCATAATTTTTCCTATACTATCATAAGTTCGATGTTGTTGTAGGCAAAACACGGCCAAACCATTATGCTTCTGGGAATGCTTGACTGTTGGCCGTAGGTACCGCAATTGATTTCCAGAGTTAGATGGCCTTCTTACCTATCGTTTACCATCTGATTCCTTAGTATCCAACTTTGATTCATCATTGAAAATGACCTTTTTTAAATCATCACTTGTCTAATGTTAATGTGCCTTTGCAAATTCAAGTTGAAGTTTGCTATTTTTGATCCGAATCAAAGGTTTCTTTTTGGAAATACAGCCACGAAGTCTAACGTCCAAAAGCCGATTGCATACTGCCCTTCATGAAACGTCTACACCATGTTCTTCCTTATGTCTGTTCTAATCTCATTTGCACGTTTGAAAGGATCAGCTTTAGAATTGCGAATAATCAATGTATCCTCTTTTTTTGCAGTAAATCTAGGTCTTCCCCTTCCTTTTTTTGCATTTTGTAGAACCACAAACATTGTATCGCGGAGTTATTTTTCCAACGGTTAATTTTGGCATGTTAAGCATGACATCTATTGCTCGAATCGATATCTTCTCTTTGGCAAGACGCAAAATTAAAAAACGAACCTCTTCACCTGCTTGTTTCGGCATACTGTAACGTAAAAGCTGTTTAAACACAAAACCAGCACAAAAACTAGTACAAATTAAAACATACTTTGCATATTAACAGCTTCCGTCACAAGTGTCCCACTTTTTTTTTGCCAAGCAAAATTTTACAAAAAATTTTTAAAAATATTTAAGACCCGAATTTTAAAAATTTTTTTTGCTTGAATATGTTAAACTTACCCTACATTGTCATAATAGCTAGGTACAAATTTATAAACAGTCGAAAAAAATTTAAAATTGACGAAAAACCGACTGTCCCATTTTTTCTTGCCGCCACTGTACACTTACAAATTTAAAAATGTAGGTTAATTTAAAGGTATTCTACTAAAATATCAAAGAAAAATAACTAAAAGTCAAAAAAAGACAACGTTACAAGCTTGAAACACAATGCCAAGTTAGCGGGAAATTCAAAATTTCATTTTTTAATCTCGATTTTCTCGAGATTTCCTGGAAAGCGCGATTTAGTACTTTGCTGGAGATCTTATATTTACATGATCTTTCTTTAAAAGTTTGAAGTCAATCAGAGCGGGGCAGGTCGGATACCTTCCTTGTGAGCCTAATTCGTTTATTAACTTTTGCGGAAATCAGATATTTCGAATAACAAAAGAACGTTTTTGGGGTTATAAAAAGATAACTTGTGTTTTGATTGGGTTTCTCGATAAAGCAAGTGAAAAGAGAAAATTAAAGAAATAACAAATACCCTACCCCTATCTAGCCTACACTATCCTAACTTATAGTACTTTTGCCTTTACTCCATCCTAGTTGTACCTTAACCTAACCCTAGCTTTTTGAGTTCGGTAGCGCTACTCTAGCTTTACCCTAGTGGTCTCGTATTCCTGCATAGCCTGATCAAGTTCCGTCTGTGGTCTTATTCTAGGCATTCTCTTTCCTACCTGAATTCATTAGCCCAACCTTAACCTTACCGTAACCCATCCCTCCCTAACGTTACCATAGCCCTACACAAATTTTACCTACAACTGCAGCTATATTTTTCCTTAAATTTAGACCAAAATTTTTCCCTAAACTTTTCGACTATTCCAAATCCCCAGGCACTATTAAAAACACTCATTCGAATGTTGCCTAACCTTCCTCTTCTTAATAAGCATTCGAAATAAAAAAGATTTCCTTGTCCGGCAAAGCAAAATGCCCTCAGGGCATAAAGTTGAAAAAAAGGGTGGGGGAGTGGGAATGAAAACTGTTTTGAATAAAAACGATTGCACTTCAGTTGTCACAGCGACATGAGACATTCCTATAGTTACATTAGACACGTTTGGAAAGGTTTAGACGTTTTATTATGTAGGCATAATGAGATGCTTGATCATGTGCTAGCTAAAACAAGGTTTATGATAATGAGGTGTGTAAAGCAATATTTAAAAAAAATTTTTTGAAATTCGACAAAGTAGCAAAAATATGGAAATTGAGGCGTGGGAACGGTCAGTGATCAGAATATTTTAGCAAAGCCTACATTGGCCCTAGCCCTAGCTCAAGCTCTCTCTCTAGCTCTTGCTCTGACTCTAGCTCTCGCTCTAGCTCTAGCTCTTGGTCCAGCTCTAGCTCTAGCTTTAGCCTTAGTCTTAGCCCTAGCTCTATCTTTTGTCGTAGCCCTACTCTTAACTGAATCCTAAGCGTAAGCTTAAAATTAGGCCCAGTTTGAGCCCCAGCATACAGTAGCCAATCTCTAGCCGTACTATAATATGACCATACACTAAACCTGACCTATCTTTTTTTGCAAATTTCGAAGTCAGTGAGCAAACATCGTTTCCTGGTTGTTTATCCAAAAGATATTCGAAATAGCTTTACTACACCGTTTAGAGCTCAAAAACAACAATAATATTTATAATACTAGGTATTCAATAAAGTTCATTTGCTCTTTATTCAAGCAGTTTTTACTTTTTCAAAATTAAAAAATGTACTTTTTTACAAATTATAGTAGGTGTAAAATGCAAATTTAAATGCTACAGCAGGTGTAAAACGCAAAGAAAAATTAAAATTTGTAATTTTAATTAAAAAGAAGTAAAATACGTCAAAATGTCATCTAAAACCAAATTAAAGGTTCCTATATAGTCTTACCCTAAACTTACTGTAGTCTTGTTCCTACTTCTAGCCTAACCTTAACTCAACATTAGCCCTAGCTAGCTCTTTTCGTAGCCTTATCCAAATCATACTTTTCTATTAACTATAACTACAGTATTAAAGCACAAACCATAAATTTACCAAAAAAGTGCCGTTTTCAACCTCATGTGTCACAAACCAATTCAAGCTTATAAAATACGAAACTTCTAGATGCAAACCAAACAAAAAACGTTAAAAAAAAAGATTTAAAAAGTCATAAAATGACAAAGTTTGTCGGTCATTCAACCAGGCAGTGAATGAGTAATAATACGGTAAGGCTAGAATAAGATTAGGGGCAAGCAAAGGCATGGTAAAAGAAAGGCTATGGTTAAGCAAAAACATGGCAAATGTAAGACCAGAGCCAATATAGGTAATGGTAAAGGTAAGGCTAGAGTAAAGCAACCGCTGGGAAAAAGTAAGCCTAGTGTAAAACTAGGGTATGGCTAAGGTCAAGCAAGAGCATGGCAAAAGTAAGACAAAAGTCAGACAAAGGCATGTTAAAAGTAAGGTTAGAGTCAAGTTAGAGCATGGCAAAAGTGAAGCTAGAGTCATGCTAGCGCATGGCAACAGCAAGGTTAGGGTTATACAAAAACGCTAAAAATAAGGTTAGAGTCAGACAGGGCATGGCATGGCAAAATTAAGGATAAAGGCAAACTAGGGTATGGCAAAAGTAAGCCTAGGGCTAAGCTAGAACTTGGCAGGAGTAAGGCTAGACTAAGCTTACAATACAAAGCCAAAAATATCCTTTAAAATTAAAAAAATAGAGTTGCTAGACTATCACTGATTACAGAATCTGCGCTAGAATGTCAAATTAGTTCAAAGGAAGTTTTTTTTTAAGTTTAGGTAACAACAAGTTTACACTTCACTAGCTCCATTGTCCACAAAAGTTTCTAGAAACACTGGAATTTGGAGAAAAATCCAAGGGTTTACATTTGAAAGTCTAAAACATCGCCTAAAGCAAAAAAAAATTTTTTAAATTACGAAAAATTTCAATTTTGAAAAAAATGTCAAAGAAGCTTCGAAAAAGGTCAAAGCATGGGGAAAAGTAAGGCTAGGGTCAATCTAAAGCGTGGCAAAGGCTAAGCTAAGGTCATGGTTGGGCATAAAGATTGCGGTCAAACAAGAGCATGGTAAAACTTATGCTACGGTCGACTAGAGCCGTAGCCACCTACAGTTAGGTTTAGTCAGCTCTAGCCAGCTCTAGACAGCCCTTTAGTCAGCATCAACCAGTTTTAGCAAGTATTAACCGGCCGTAGCCAATATTTGTGCACAGCCAAAAAAATTGGTTAAGGCTGGTTAGTATTAGGTGCCGGCAAAAGTTTTTCCACGATTTTTGTTTTTACCAAAATTTAAAATTTAAAAAAGGACATCAACTAATGAACAAATATATGTACCATTATTATCAACGACCTGTTGCCATTCCTTTGGCACCATTTGGATTCAACTTCTGCAGAAAACTGGAGTTTGAGAATTGAAAAAGTTAGTCCACCACCTCTTGAGGTACTCTCGATTGTCAAAGCGTGTTGCGTTAAGGTGATTTTGAAGAGAGTGGAACATATTATAATCTGTAGGCACAACATCAGTTGAGTACAGTGCATATAGCATCACAGCCCAGCCGAGGCTTTTCAGCTTGTGCTGAGTCAACTTTGTCACATAGAGCAGTATCATGAATGAATAAGGTTCGATTCTGTTCACCATGCAATGCCGCCGCAACAGATTTAATTTGTCTACAGTAGACATCCACAGGGATCGTAGTTCCATGTGGTACCATTTCCTAGTACACAATACCTGTTGAGTTCCAGCTAACGCTGATCACCTTATCCAGTGGGTGAAGATCAGGTTTTGGGGTTGGTGTACCTTGTTCTCCACGTTCAAGCCATCGTTTCTTCCTGGTGTGATTAACATACAGTACTCACTTCTCATCCCCAGTAACCAAATTGCCAAGCCATGCAAAGGTCCTTGGGAACATCAACAAATAAGTGCAACTTCCACTTAGCGTTTCAGCTGGTCGCTCTTGAAATCATGTGGAACCTCTTGGCCATATTTCCATGATCTTCCAAGGTCGTGAAGTCTAGTTAATATGGTAGAAGGGTCACACTGAAGCTCTACAGTCAAATGAGTACAGGTTTGTCTGG